AGGACAGAACTGGTGACCCGGGGCAGGACTGGGTGTCCTAGGGCAGGACCAGGTGATCTAGGGCAGGACTGGGTGATCTAGAACAGGATTGGGTGACCTAGAGGAGGACTGGGTAGAGCAAGCAAAATGCCTTTAAGTAGGCAAATGGATAAATAAACAGTCGTACCTCCAGACAGTGGAATATTATTCAGCAGTAAAAAGAAATGAGCTATCAAGTCATGAAAATAGAGGTACACGGAGGAACCTTAAATGCATATCACTAAGTGAAGAAGCCAGTCCGAAAAGGCCTATACATTGTGTAAGTCTAACTCCATGAAATTCTGGAAAAGGCAAAACCACGGGAGACAGTAAAAAGATATGTGGTCGGATGATTAGGGGGAGGGATGAACGGGGACGCACTGAAGACTTTTAGGGCAGTGAAAGTACTCTGTATGATTGTGTAGGGACGGACACATGTCATTGTACATTTGTGCAAACCCATGGAGTGGACCAAAAAAAGTTAACATTAATGTAAACTATGGGCATTAGTTAATTACAATGTATCAGTATTAACTCATCAACTGCAACTAATATACCATATCAAGCCAAGATGTTAATAACAGAGAAATCTTTGGGGAGGTGGGGATAAGGGAGTATGTGCAAAGTGTCAAGACTTTCTCTGCTCAACCTTTATGTAAATCTAACATTCTCTAAGAAATAAAATCTATGAATTAAAAACCTTATTTGCCTTTATGCTTAACCACCTCCACAAAGTACTGCTCCTATGTCTCAGACTCACTCTGAGCACTAAACCTGCAGCGTAACCTTGTGTGACTGCAGTGATGCCATCGGAATCCCCAGCCTCACAGGGTCTTTAGGGCATTATCTGGGAGGGACGCAACACTGGAAACTGGGAAAGAGATACGTGGGCAGGTCCTAAGGAAGCTGGGACACTGAACCCCTCCGCTCCACCAACCTTTCTTTGCCAGAAGAAGCCCTCCTTCCCCTCCTGCTAAAGAGGCCAACCCTGTCTGAAGAACGTGTCTGAGCCACCCAGGTGGTTGCCCCACATGGTCCTGCTGAGCCTTCGCCAGACACACCGTCACCACCTCTCACTGCATCTGGACCTACACCTGGACTTAAGTCCCAGCAGGCCCCAGGGTGGGAAGGCACAGAGAGAGAGAGAGAGAGAGAGAGAGAGAGAGAAAGAGAGAGAGAGAGAGACGCCCTCAAAGAATGGCATGATCTTGCCAATTTACACCAACAGAAACCTGGGCAACACATGTGGGAATGGCTCTTAAGTATGTGAGATCAAGATGGAACGAACAGAAATTGGACCAGGCTAAATGTATTGATATGGGCCACTAAGCGCAGATTCTCCAACCAATGTTTTAGATTAGGGGGCTGGAAATAGCTTTAACAGTTTCCACCAATGGTTGACATAAACAGGCATCCGAAGGGGGTGTCCATATGAAATGACGTGGAGATGCCAGTATTTCCTTGTTATATCACAAAGAGGCAAGTGTCTGAGGTTTATGGAAATTGGGACACTGGAGTGGATTGCCATGTAAGACCTGCTAATGACCTCAGGAGGGTCAAGAGGATATGCCTTTCCCCAAGACTATGAGAGATGAGTTTAGAAGAGTGCCCCAGCACCCTTGAAGAGCTCTGTGCTGATGCCCCCTCAGGTCAGAAAGTACCGTGGGAGAGCTCTCTTCAACCTGGGATCCCAAAGTGCAGAGGGGACGACGGGATCTTGAGGTGGCAAGGGCCAAGGGGGCGCACGTAAGAGCTAAGGACAGATGGTTGTGGTCACCACAAAGCAGCAAGCAGAAGACCGTCGTTACTGACTAGGTGAGCAGACTGCTCCTACCACTGGAATAGACAGACAGAAGGCCTCCAAGAGTCTTAGGGACCTGCATAAGCAGGAAAGTTCCGGATCTACAGAACTGAGGTCTGGCTTGAATCACCAACACAGAGTCACGGCCCTTCAAACAACTTCCAGACTTGGCACAATCCCAGGTCATAGAGTAGAGCCCCAGGAATGAAGCTGCAGGGTCGGGGCAGAGTCCCTGAAGGGTACACAAGTCAGCAATTCATACAGTGATTCCTTCTCCTAGCCTTCCCCAGAGGGACCTGCGCCCTTGTGCCAGGATGAGTGTGTACCAAGGGAAAAGGAGATAATGAGAGTCTTCAGTGGCTATCAAACACTGACTCTGAACTGACGCTAATAGCAGAAAAACCCAAACATCACTGTGGCCCCCCCCAGTCAGAGCAGGGGCTTACAGAGGCCAGGTGATCGCACTCACTGTGTCATCATTCCCCCAGCTCTGGAGTGGACACACTCAGGGGCTGGCAGGTCCCCCACACTGATTCCCTGACTGGCAGATTCAGGGCTATTCTGGTGGGAGAGGCCCGAGGACAGCCTCTGGATATAAAACCTTGTACCAAAAGCGATACGGCCTCCCTGGAGGGCACGGTTAGTGGGAGATTAGTGCCACCGTCAAGGACTTGAAGGATGCCGGGGAGGTGACTGACACCACGCCCCTTTCAACTCTCCTGCTTGGCCTGTGCCCAGAGAGGTGGATTGTGGGAAAGGACAGTGGATTATCATGAACTTAACCTGGTGGTGACTCCAAGTGGTGCGGCTGTTGCAAAGGTGGTCCCGCTGATGGAGGAGTCAGCACAGCCACGGTGCCCGCGACGCAGCTGTTGGTCTGGTGACCACTGTCTCTACACCCATACTTAAGACCAACAGAAGCTGTCTGCTCTCATCTGCTGAGGTCAGCAACATGCCTGCACTGTGCTATATCACAGGTGTATCAACCCTCCAGCCCCCTGTCACACCTGCACTGTGCTATATCACAGGTGTCCCAACCCCCCAACCACTGTCATTATCTGGTCCACCGGGGCCTTACTTAGTTCTGTCCACACAGCATCATGCATGGGACGTCAGTAAATTTAGAAATTATGCTGATTGGACCTAATAGGGAAGAAGTAGCAACTACCCACATATGTGGCTAAGACACCTGCACACCAGACTCGGATGCTGCTTGGCCCTTCGGAAGGCCCCAGAGGCAAATCACAGAGCAGACCCTTAGGGCTTGGGAGCACACACACATCTCTGCAGATAACTACTCTCCTTTCAAGAAACCGCTTTTGGCTGCTACTATACCTTAGTCAAGAATGAACGCTTGGCCACAGGCCACCGAGCTACCACACAATTCGGTTACTGTGAACTAAGTGTTGTATGACCACGGCCGTCTTACAGCTCACACACGTTGTTGGCCCTCTGTCCACTCACTCGGATCTGTAAGCAGCTGCCAGCAACTGCCCTTTCCCCCAGGGTCCCGTTCAGCTTCTGGGAACTGTGCACGTTCGGCACCCTGACGAGGGGCTGACTTTCGCAGGACACCTCATCACCAAGGTCAGGGCCACGAGAACGGTCATGGGCTCCTGTCCGTCCTTGTCCTCGACCTCTCATCTCACGCCCACGGTCCCTTCCCACTGCCTGCCCTGCAGATTCAGGCTCCAGACCAAAGACAGCAGTCTGGGAGACACGCTCCATCATCGCCCATGCCTGCACACGACCAACTCCCTGTAACTGATCGCGCACGCGGTCTCCTAGCGGTTCTGCTTCCCTGCCTGAACCTGGGACAGTTAGTGTCCTGGGGAGAAAGGGTGCCATAGTCCAATGACTCGGAGCGAATGAATGAATGTAATTCTTTACTGCAGAACTTTCCGGCATGTTCACGAACCAGCATACATCACGAACATCCAAAAGGAGGAAAGGAGCAAGTAATGTTTCCCAAACCTACTGGACCACAGACTTTTTTCTTGATGGAGCCACTGATAAGCTCTGTGGGATATGATGTAGAAAGAACGTATGGACTCAGGTCCATGTTCCTCTCCTGGTCCCTCCTTCCAGGCCTGGGCCCCCAGCAGGGCCATTTTAGGTCCTGACCACGAGACATGCGAATTTCACCCTCCAGGAGCTTCACCCTGACCCTCACCTGACACCAAGGTGTTGTGTTTGCAAGTGGGCCTCCTGTCCAGGCTCCGAGGGCACAGGAAACAGGGCTTTACTGCCGTAGTAGGAACAGGGCATAGTAATGCTAAGCATGCCGATGCAGCTTCCCCCTCTGTTTCAAAAATTATATACATAATATAAATTACGTATGTGATAATTATGTGTATAATAATATCTGAGTCATTGTAATTATTTTTATTCTGAAGTTAGCTAACATACAGCGTGGTCTTGGCTTCAGGAGTGGAACCCAGTGATTCATCACTTACATACGACAGCCAGTGCTCATCCCAACACGTGCCCTCCTCAATGCGCATCACCCATCTAACCCACCCCCCACCCTCCTCTCGCCAGCACCCCTCAGTTTGTTCTCCGTATTTAAGAGTCTCTTAGGGCTTACCTCCCCCTCTGCTTTTATCTTATTTTTCCTTCCCTTCCCCTATGATCTTCTAAGTTTCTCAAATTCCACATGAGTGAAATCTTATGATATGCGTCTTTCTCTGTCTACCTGACTTATTTCACTTAGCATATTTTTAAAACTATCTTCTTAGCACCCCTGTGAAGTAAACAGGTAACAGGAAGCTCCTGTATAACAAAAACTTGCATAATGACAGTATTTAGAGGCAAACTGACTTTCTGGGGGTTGATCAGTGGCTGGCTTGCACGTGGCTGAGGGGGGCTGGTCCCAGGCCTGGCGTCTCTGTCACGTGACCTGTAGGTGTCTCTCCTACTCTCTGAAGCACCGTCAAACTGCTGTGGTTCCTGGACGCCCGGCAGCATCTAGGGCCACCTCTAGCCCACGAAGGGAACCCCCGCTGGAACCTTCTAGGAGTAAGGCTGCCTGCTCCTAGCCCTCTTCTATCTCAGCACTGGTCCCCCCGACCTAAGAGGCCCATGATCTTTAAGGAGAAGCAAAGCACCTGCTGAACGCTGGGTGCAAAGGCAGCTCGGGCCAGCAGCCCAGGACAGGACAGTTTGGCCCACACCTGCCTACCTGTTCGGGAGAGCTTCTGCAAGGTGGCTGCCAGGTGCTGCAGAACCGCCGGTGACACTTCATAGCGGTGTGTGTCTACCGCTGGAACCTTCTGGCACCTTCCAAACACTCCATCTGTGAGAAAAGGGAAGCAGAGAAGAAAAAGTGACATTTCATTTTCAGAGAGAAGAAAGGCATTACACACATCCTTGCAATATATTCTAATTATGCACTGTGGTGAGGCTTTGGAACACGGCTTTAGAAAGTCATCAAAACACTATCATAAGTCAGAAGCACTTGGAAAGTAATGGTTTGTTTAAATAGAAGAGCATGATAAAAAACACAGTTCCAAAGGTATAGAGAAAAGGACGTGAATTCAGAGTAGCTGGCATTTTCTATTCTACTTTCTCATCCCTTCTCCCCTCGCCACCCCCGCCACTCACTTTTTGTAATTTCCTGCCCCTGGCTTTCACCTTTCTGACTTGAAGCTTTGCTTCTGACAGTCCTGTGACAGAAAAGCCAATAGTACTCAGGATCGGTTTTCCAGATGAGAAACAGAACACCCAGGGAATATAAACATGAGTTTGTGGAAGCCTGAGGATCGTGGAAGTACCTGCCACGCAGGCTGGCAAACGGGGGCAGATATGTGGGAACGGCTGCTCAAGGCGCTTCCAGAACAAGAGAGACTAACGGGCACAATTTATCTAGTCTGTTCCATCTGCCTAAAATGACACACTCTGCTCATCAACATCTTTTCAAACCACACCCTCCAGTTAATTTAGGCCCCAGTTAGTCTTTATTCGGCAAATTGTTCACTTTGAAATAAGCTTCCTGTAGGGGGTTCAAACATCCAAATTACTGTCCTTCGTACACACAAAAGACTAATTCAAGGGCCAGGCGGCCATCTGCAGCTTCAGGCCCGGATAGAGGGAGAAACACTTCCCTTATTGTTCACAACAGTCTCACTGCACGAAGTGTAGCCGAGGAAAAGCCTTCAAGTGCAACAAGTTTAATCGTCAGAGACACGTTCGCCCGGTGCCAGGCTGACTCAGGGATTACGGGTCTGATGTCCCATATGTGCTTAAGATGGATGGCGCTGTGTGATCGGCAGAAAATCATCCCAAGTATGGAGAGCATGTCGTGGATTTCTACGGGACTTTGCACAGCAGGGGACACAGCCGGCACAGCTGCTCATTCCGGGCACACCACGGCCATGCAGAAAAGTCAGACCCTCTGCCGGCCCCGCCCCCCGCACAGGGATCTACTGGGCACCTCTGCCGGTCACCTCTGTGGGTCACCCCGGCCGTGCGGAGCTCTGCCGGTCACCTCCACCCTCTGCCGGCTCTGCCGGCACCGCCCCTCTGTCTGAGTGACTCACTTAACACAACGGCCATCTCCAGCCACAGTGATTCCCAGTCACAGTTCCCTTGGAGGGAGGGTCTCATCTCCCTGCCACTACCCAGTGAGACAGGCAATCTGCTCCACGTGAACACAGACAGCAAGTGTCCCCGTTCTTTTGATTTTGCCTTGTGCGAAGAACCCTGTGTTCATGTGGGGATGGCGTGTTCATGTGGGGATGGCGTGTTCATGTGGGGAAGGACAAGGGGGCAGGGAGGAGAAGGAGGCTAAGAGAAAAGCTAAGAAGTCTCTATAATGTACCTGAAACTCTCATTTTACTTTACAAATGGAGTATCTCGAAAGTAGAATTGTAACATGTAGAGACTGGGAGGAGCATTAAGATGGGCTGACCCCACATTTTACAGTTGAGCGTCGTGACCTGCTAAGGTCCTCATCAGTGAAAAATGGCCAAAGACATTTCCTATCTATTTTGGAACATCCCAAGTGAATTAATTCCCTCTGAAGTATAAACGGCTTCACCCTTGAAAGTTGGTTTGTGCCACACAACGTGGTAAATATATTTTTGGAAAAATAATTATTGGATTTTCTTGAAATCTCTCTCTCGACTATATACTTAAAATACATATATATAATATACTACATAGTATTTTTGTGCTTTTCAAATTAGGTTTAGTTTTAGCTAGTCATTTGGTTTTAATGATTTAAATGTTAAAACTAAACCAACCATTGATTCTCTTTGCCCCTAGACCACAGCTTTGCTGATGAGGCAGGACAGACCTTTCCCCAGTACATTTCTTTAAACTTTATCCTTTAAATAAACTTTATTTTTTAAAGCAGTTTTAGGTTCACAGCAAAGTTGAAGGGCAGGTACAGAGAGTCCCCATATACCTCCTGCCCTCACGTATGCAAACCAACAGCCCCCAGCCTGAGTGGTACATTTGCCACAACCAATGAGCCTACAGTGATGCCTCTTTATCACCCAAAGGCTGTAGTTCACATCAGGGTCATTCTCGGTGTTGTGCACCGATGGGTTTGGACAAAAGCACAGTGGCACGTGCTCACCATTATAGTGTCACGCAGGGTAGTGTCACTGCCCTGAAAATCCTCTGTGCTCCCCCTGTTCACCCCTCCACGCCTCTCACCCCTGGCAACCATTGACCATTTTACGGTCTCCAAAGTTGTGTCTTTTCCAGAATGGCATATACAGTTGACCCTTGAACCACACTGGTGTGAACTCTATAGGTCCAATTTACACACAGGTTTATTTTTAGCTACACAGTACTGTGCAGACACACGTGTTGGTGTGTGTACATACGTGCATCTACATGTGTGTATACTGTGTGTGCTTGTGTCCACGTGTATGTGTTTGCATGTGCGTCTACAAGTGTTACGTGCACATGCCTTTGCATGTGTGTTGTGTACACGTGACATGTGTGCTGTGTGTATGTGCATACACGTATACACATAGACAGCCCTGCCATTTGTCTAGCGGCCACACTGTGTGAGAACCCAAGGATACAGCCATTCCAACATCATAAATTCATCTAGGAAACAGATATGTTAATACCTCCCTACCAGAAACCTGATTTCCTTATTTATTTCTCAATAAACAACTTCACTACCTTTTTCTCTGTTTCCTGTGGATGACTGTGTGTACACTCTCATCCACACCTTCTCCTAATTTCCAGCCCCGTCATGCTGTGTCTCTGCGGTGCCCTCCCCATCCTAAGGAGTGGATTCCGTCCCTGCCCACACTGCTCGGCCTCATCCTCCAACCTCAGGAAACGCACGCCCTGCTCTGATGTCCCCCCTGCTGGACAGGTGGGATAGCGGTGGGACGCGCATCCGGGGCAGAAGTGGACACGCAAACTACTCACTTGTAACTGTGGTACAGGCTACAGAGGGACATGCTCCCGGGCGGCACGAAGACGGGGCACTGACCTCATCCGACACATAAAGACCCCACGAAAGTAGCAGCCGGTTGGGCGCCAACATTTACAGAAAGGGGCTGCCTACCTAGGGCTGGCAGGGACATCTAGGCAGGGGAGCAGGCTCTGTGGAGGACAGGAAGCGTCCAGTCGCTAGAGCTCTGGGACCAAGGCACTGAGCTCTCAGATGCGGAGCGAGTCAGCGGTGCGTGCAGAGCCTGAGGGCACGGAGAGGTTCAGCCCTCCTCCAGGAGCTTCTGGCACCTTCCAGGCAGGTTTTGCATTTTGCCAGGAGCCAAGGGGTGAGCTGCCTGTCCAGGGGAGGGTGGCTCAGCGAGGAGGGTCACCATAGAAGTAAGCGAGCAGGACGGATCCACAGTCTTCTCAGAGGTGAACCCGTAGGACACCAATGCCACCCAGCTGCAGGCCAGCCCTTTCCACGAGTCCACGGCACAGAAAGCCTCTGGGGTTCAAGGAAATATTCTGAGGGACAGCCCATGGAACATGTGTTTCTCCAAAGCAGAAACAAAGCTGTCTTGCTGCCAGCTGGGAGAGGTGAGCCAATGGCCCCCAATCAAGTGACACCGCATCCTTCTGTGGGGAGGCCACCTCCCAGACCTCTGTGGGCAGTAACCACAGCAACCACAGAATCGTGGACTGTGCTTAAAATCCCCAAACTTGCTGACGGCCGTCCCCAAGACCAAATTCCTGAGATGACAATCCCCCTCCTCATTCTGCAGAGCAGAAGACTGGGTCTCCACTGCTTCTGGAAACCAGAGACTACACGCTTTTAAACAGAAAAACAAGGGATGTTTGCAACCCTCGGAAAATAGCTGCTGCTGTCCCAGCTGAGTGTCACCGACCAGACGGCCACCTACCACTGGGCAGTGGGTTTCTCCTGTTAGAAAGAGAGACCTTGATGATTTCTTTGCTGTTTTGTTGTTTTTTTTTTTTTTTTTTTGGAAGAATGTGAAAAAAACAGCTTGTTCATAATGTCTGTGCCTTCGTTTTAACCAGTATTCCTTGGAGCATTATTCCCACAGGCAGAAGTCATTTTCACTCATCAACGCCACTGTCCCCTGAACACTGATGCAGGCCTGTGGCTGTGCCCCCCTCCTGGACCGGCGTTCCAGAATTCACTTCTCCCTCGGTCTGTGGGGCTGTGCCTGTCCCCAGGCTGCAGAGGACACACGTGTGCACACCTGTGTGCACACACATCTCCACATCCCTCTGGCACTGACATTCTCCTCTCACCTCCAGGCACCATGGGCTCCTGGAAGGCAGGCACCAGAGCTACACCTCTTAGAGCTCCCACATCTGACACTACTCTGCACCCACTGTAGGTTCAATAAATATTTGTGACCGATTAACTGGTGTTTTTCCACTTGCCTGAAAAAAAAAGCCGAGTGGCGCCTGAGCAGCTCAGTCGGTTAAGCGTCTCAATTTCAGCTCAGGTCATGATCTCACAGTTTATGGGTTCGAGTCCCGTGTCAGGCTCTGTGCTGATAGTGTGAAGTCTGCCTGGGAGTCTCTCTCCCTCTCCCGCTCTGCCTTTCCCCTGCTCGCTCTCGCTCTCTCAAAACAAATAAACGTTTTTGAAAAGCTGAGATGCCCACAGAAATGTATACCACCATCAACTAGAATCCTAATTCGCTGGAATCTCACACTGATTTAGAAGTGCACAAGTCCCAGCACATGACCCGGCTGGAGGCAGGACCAGGGATCGCTGAGAACAAACCCAGGGGGCTCGTGGTGGAGCCTGCAAATGAGGGGGTGCTCCTCCGTGCTCTCAGCAAACACGGCACCTCCTCCCCCTCTAACTCCGCGCAGGCTCAGAGCACTGGTCCT